TATCAGATGAAAAAGGGTGTGACACCACTGCTTCCTAGTCTTCTGGTAGGAATACAGTGTCAACTACACAGCAGTATCATTAATTTGAAAAACAAGGTCATCTTAACTGAGCCTCATTGTTATAGGAGGAAAGTATTTCGCCCAGTTTTATGAAAACTTCAGAAAGCGTATTCAGGTATGTTTGCACTGGTTTAAAAGATTAGCAAACTCTTCCATTGTGCAAGAACTGCCAGTATCCAAACAGGAACAATAGAACTTCAGTCTGAAGACTGGGACAAACTGTATCTCGTGAATCAAAGTATGGGAGTTTGGTGATACCGGGTCACATTAAGACCCTTGTAGATACTTGGTGCATTTATCTTCATAGGTTCTCACTTCAGTAATAGTCCAAAATGTTAAGATTATAAAGAGATTTCCTCAGTGGTGGAATTCATTTTTTTTTACTACCAGTTCCGTGGGCGTGGCTTGGTAGGCATGGTGTGGCTTGGTGGGCATGGCTTGGTGGGCATGGCAGGTGAAGGAGAGTGCAAAATCTCCATGCCCACCCCAATCTGGGGCCAGCCAGAGGTGGCATTTGACAGTTCTCTGAACTACACAAAATTTCCGCTACTGGTTCTCCAGAACCTGTTGGATTTCACCCCTGGATTTCCTGGACTTATATTTTCAATGAGTTACAGCAAGGGTATCATCTGGCCCACAGAGTACTTAGATCTGGCCCACGGATCCGCCCTGGAAACAGGGAAGGACTGGCCCACGGTGCCTCTGCCAGCAAAAACAAAGCTCGGAAGGGCTGCATGCGGCCCTCCTAGGCTCCATTTTCACTGGCATAGGGCTGCAGGAGCCCATCATGCAGTGGTGGGTTTCAAAACATTTTCGAACCTACCCTGTGGGTGTGGCCTCCTTTGTGGGAGTGGCTTGATGGCCATGTGACCTGGTGGGAGTGGCTTGCCGGCCATGTGTTCTCTCTCTCTCTCTCTCTCTCTCTCTCTCTCTCTCTCTCTC